CATCCATCCATCCATTTCTTGTTTCCGTACTTTATAAATTGCATTTGTTTCTTGATCTAAAATACTCAACAAAAACTACTTTTAGAAATAATTGAAACGGTTCGCATTACTTATATTTTGTATTTCGACTAAAAAGCAGCTTTTAGCGACTCTGACCAGTAGAAAGGTCAGGACCAAAGACGTCACATATCGCGCACTTTCGGTACCGTGGGTCGCCCCCGTCAGTGGAGGTTTCCGCGTCGTCCGGTTAAACTATGACTCACTATATTTAGTTCCTCTCTCCGTGCCCGCTGGATTGCCCGAACTGCAAGAGACGTGGAAACCGCAAAAAAGGTAGACGCTTAAAGGGGTATTCACACGAGGGAGAAATCCCGGGGATTTCTCCCTGGCACGCGCATCCAACGACGAAAACGTCAGGCTTTGCGATGTGCAAAAGCCTCGTGTTTTTATCTCGTGATGCGCGCGTGCCGGGGAGAAATCCCCGAGATCTCTCCCTCGTGTGAATACCCCTTAAAGGGCCCATGAAACGGATTTTGGGTTGGGATAAATCATTTTAGATTGGGATTTTACGAATAGCACATCGTTCAGTGGGCCAAATGAAAAAAAGGTAGGAAGTCAAAAGCCTGACTTTCAGTGCGAAAATTTGAAAACACAGCGGACTACTTCGTACCTCCTCCCCTTCGTAACCTCTCTGCCTTTCCACTGTGATACATCCGCAGTCCCAAAAGCGCGTCATCGGGTCCAAACTGACGTCACAAACCGGACCTCATTTAGTCCCTTCACCCCTAAGCTGATATTGTGGTGGAAGCTACGTGCTTGCCGGACCAATCAGCCGCCTCCGTTTCATCACCTGACCTCATTCTCTGCAGCCACATTTGCCACGCTCACGTGGCAAAAGTGCGGCTAGCCCAAGGAGCACATAGCTTCCACAGCACTGTCAGCTTAGGGGTGAACGGGGTAGGGAAGGAAACTTTTGTCCGAATTTTGAGCGACGGGCTAATCTTCTAGGGGGACAATGGCTCTCTCCGAGCGAGAGGGGCCTCGCTTCTTTTCGTCCTCTTGAACTGTTTGGTGGAATGCGCGATTTATATTTATTTGAGGAGGAAAGCGAAACAGGAAAAAGTTGGAAAAGCGTTTCATGACCCCTTTAAATATGATTGCAGGGCCCCTTTAAGGAATTGGGAACAGCGTGCAAAAAAGACCAGGAAAACGAGAGTAGAGCACAGGACAAGCGCTTGTCCTGTGTTCTATTATCGTTGTCCTCGTCTTTTTTGTGCGCTGTTCCCAATTTCTTCAGTCATGAACCAACTTGCCTGCATCGCCACCTGAAATCACCCCCCCCCCCCACCCCCAACAACAAAAAAAAAAAAACAGCGCCCAAAATTAGCATTGCACCAAAATGTTCAAAAGTTTCCCACTTCACACTACAGTGCCAGAGGCTGAAGTCGAACGGCCAAAGAAACGAGTCGTAACTTGCCGATAGAGGCCCAACGCTGCCAGAAGCCTGGAGTCATCGGCCAGAAAAGAAGGTCGTCTTGGAGTTTAAACATTTTGCCCGCAAGCACTACAGACGGCAGACTGAGTAAAGCAGCCGCCTCCAAAGAGCACGCTAGCCAGTGGAAATTACGTCTCCGATTTGAAAGCAAAAGATAAAAACGAGGACAGCTCGGTGATACCAAATATCCCGGCGGCACCCTCGCTTGCCAAGTCGGCAACATTCGCGAATCAGCACAGCTAAAGTCCCTCGGTGTTTTTTCACCGTTAAGCATACCCACCCCTCCGTCTGCCAGGTCAACGCAACAAAACTGTGTCCAAAGATGAAACATAACCCACGTCGCCCACCGCAGCCAACAACCAACCACGCAAATGAGCAAACCCGTTGGAGACCAAGAAAGGAAAACGACGGGAAGAACGGAGATTAAAGGCGGCACCGCACTTCCCCTCTGACTGTACTGACACTTAGAGTGGTCCGAAAAGAAAATCATCAAAATAACGAGACAAAAAAAGAAGAAACGCCTGAATTTCTGACAGCGCCTTAATCCTCTCTGTAATTTTTATTACGAGAAAGTTCTGTGGACAACTGGATGAAGCCATTCTTCGACGAGAAGAGGGTCGAGTCCGTCGATCCTTGCTTTTACCGCGTCTGTGTTGTTCTCCTCCTCCGACCTTTCGATACTAACAAGGGGAGGGGATCGCTGGTGTAATTTTTAGGGGGAGGGAACACTTGCACATGGTGTCCACCCTCGTCAAACACAGGAGGGAAGGGGGGACCGGGCCCTCTTACCCCCATGGGATTTAGGCCGCTGAGCACCAGGCACGGCATTGAGATGCTGAATGATGAAGGCCAGCATAAATACATGTAAATAAAAACCTTCGGTGCAATAACAGAACAAAAAATTCTACAGCCTTTTCACCTGTTACGGGTTGAAGCTGAGCAAGTTGGTTGAACATAAGAAAATATATACACAAAAAAAAAGATTTCTACATCCACACTGCTAGACTAGCAAGCAACCATTTAATGCCACTTGTTCGTCCTTCTCAGTTGGCTACCAGAATAAGGTGCCTTTTTTACTATTTTCTTCGTCGTCCTTTTCAAAATCACGCTCTTGCGGACCCTCGCAAGAAAGGCAATTTCCTTTGGATGCAGTGTGATGGAGGGGGCACTAACACAGTTGTCCCCTTTTTCCTCAGTGGCAAGGGCTTCCAACAGTTCACGGCCGAGCTGATGTCGGTGCTCCCCCACGAGGCCTAGGTCTGAGAGTCTCGCTTTGCATTGGCATTTACAGCAATGAGCTGAGAGGTGGCCTGTTGTGGTCAAATCCTTTAGGGAGGCTGCGTGTTCCCTCGTTCGGTCATTTATACACCAGCCAGTCTGGCCGATGTAGCATTTGCCGCAAGTCAAGGGAATGTTGTAGATAACCACCTTCTGACATTCAATCTGGACCAGCGTATCTGCATCCGATTTATAATCCCCAAATCCGATTTTTATCCACATCCGCCAGTTTACTGCAGATTGCGTGGAAGACCCGCGGGTAATTCGCGGATACGCAAGGCTCTATGTGTAACCTAAGAACTGTGTGGAACATGGCTGCTCCTGGTTAAGCGGAACTTTTGTGCAAAAAAGTTCTGGTTGCAACTGGAACTAAAGTGAAACGAAAATAAGTGTAGTATTAGCGCAAGTGTGTGCACCTGTGTTCCCAGCACTCATCTTGGTGCTTGCGTAATTTGCAAAATGCTCTATTCTGCACACTATAGTTTCATCGATAGATCGAAATGCAGCCTGAAAGTTTTTCTTGTTACTCTTGTAGCTGATCACTCAAACCGATCTGCTTCAACGGCGGGTACCACTGTACATAATTGTAGCAGTAAAAAATATGTGGCTACCATTACAACCTGCTGAATGACCTGTGATCATGGGTCTTGGCTAACATGACTAATCCACTATTGCCGCAGAGCTCTGGAGTCTGAAGTGGCATTCCAGAGGCCTAGGCCGCACAGGGAAAAACCCAGAAGTGCACTTCATCGTGCAACTCTTGTAATGCTGCTTTTTTAACGCGTGGACAGTTCTCGTAACATAAAGGGTAATGTCCAAACCCAGGCGAAAATTAGCCCACTTCCAGCTGGATTATGGAACTGGTCCCAGTGAAGTTCCATGCAGGGAATTTTCTCTTTTTCAGGGAATTTCCAGTCTCAATTTTGGTGAAAAGGGAAATAGGAATTTTAACATGTTTGCAGGGCATTTTAAGGATTAATGAGGGAATTCGGGAAAAGCTTTAGAGGGAAGTAAACACACAAAAAAAGTTGTGTGGTCCAAAAGTTTTACGAGAAAAAAAGTTGTAATGCAGGAAAAAGGTGTCTGAACAACTCTTTTTCAAGTAGGTTTAGAAAACATTCTCCAAGTATGTGCTTGCACTTCATTTAAAGTAATTTTTCCAGTACTTTCCGAGCAAAAGTAGAACCTCCGACTTGAAAAAACATTCTCCGAATTGGAAAAAGAATGTGTATTGTTATGTAAACACACGCTGTCGTTTGTCAAGATCTCATTTGGTAATTTCATTGAGTGAAGTAATGGCGGCTTTAAGACCAATGCAAATAAGTGCCTTATAGATTGATGGTGCTAAACAGAGTCAGCGAGAGTGAAACGACTACTCCGTGGCCACTTGACGTAATCCAACATGTATGTATGATCTCTATGAATCAAAGATCGCCGCCATTTTCGAAAATAACTGATGCACCCTTGATTACGCCCATGAAAGATTGTTTTAAAAAGTACTTGCACTTTACTTTGGAAGTGCACCATATTTATAGTACTTTACCTCAAGTAAATTGCACCCAATGTACTGACTACTTTACTTGAAGTACCTAATCTCTCATTTGTTTTGTATTGACATCAAGCACTTTTTTGATGTAGTTTACCAAACACTGCTAATGTTTATATTATTTAGTTAATAGAAAAATAAACTGGCCACCCTACCAAAAAGCCAGTATAACTTTTCACTTATGAAACTGGAAATATAACCGGAATCGTTTCTGGAAACCTGAAATCCCAGTTCCGTAATTCACATAGCAAAAAGTTATACTGGATTTTTTGGTAGGGCAGTAACATTTTCCTCCCTTTTAAACATGCGATTTCACACGGCTTTTGTGATAAACTGCACACAAAGAGGCCTCCATGACAACAGAAATCTACTGAGGCGAAAATAATGGTAACAAGATGCAGGGAAATATGCGGGGATATTTAAAAATTTTGCAGGGAAAAAGTATCTCAAATAGAGAATTTTTGTACCTAAGAAAGGGAATTCTCGGACGTGGTATGGAGCATCACTGACTTGTCCCAGCTGGAAATGAGGCAGTCCAGCTGGACTGCCTCATTTTCAGCTGGGACCAGTTCCATAATCCAGCTGGAAGCGGACCGATTTTCGCCTGGGAAGGATAATGTCCTCAAGTTACGCAGATTTCAACTTAATAAACTGACGAAAAATCTAAAAGAGGCAAAGATCTGAAACATTCACATTTAGATTTTATTCTCGACACTTCCATAGTACCTGAGACCAAGGACATCAAGTGGAAGGAGTCTGCTCAATGACTGTAATTGTAGAATCAAGGGTAATACTTCAACAACTTCCGCATAAGCATACATAGAGCAACAAAGACAGCTCCTCCAAAGTACAAGGTGCCAGGACCACGTAACGTAGGAAAACAGAAAAGGAACAGGTTTATGTACATGAAACCGGGCACTAGGTCACACCAAGTATTGCTTTCGGCGCTCCATACTGCTATGCACAATGCTACAACACCTAACACGCTCGACCGGTCCTCTCGGACGCCTGCAAGCCTACCCGCGCCAAGGGGCGGCGGGCTCTACTGGAATGAGATAGAATAAACACCACGGGGATTGGGCTGGCCAGGACGCCTCACGTGCTGCCCTCCGGATCCCTGGCAGTGCTCGCGGCAGAATATGGCAGCTCAGTCTTCTAGGTTGCGGAAGGCTTGCTGGATGTTCTCAAACAGCTCTTCAAAGTCCTGCTTGATCTTCTTTTCCCCTTCCTTGAGAGGATCCTGCAAAAATAGAGTGGCAGGTGAAGTATACTGCAAACTATACTCCGCTTCATTTTAATTTTGACCGTAGCCGATACTACGATCTGATATGGTCAGTCAAGCAGTGCCAAAAGTGAATCCTCGGGGCACTCGTCTTTGCGAGTTGACTATCACCAGTAGCCAACCGCACATGAAGAAACGCGGAAGATTGTAGCACATTCACTGGGCGCAATTGCTTTAGTCAGCAATGGAAAACGCAGACAATGAGCGCCGCAACGACGCATTTTTGGCACTACTCTACTGGCTTCGTCGGATTGTAGCCGTCTGCGGATAGACTCCGAGCGAGCCAAAGTGTAATGAAGACAGACCGTGAAGTAAAAGAGAAACCACACTCTTTGACCAATAGTTCTGGTGTGCATTGGGATTGCATTTTTTGGAGCACACGTCTGCCACCAGGCAATCGGATCCACACTGACGTTTTTTGCTTGTCGTTCTTTTAACAGCGGATCCACAACCGGCAGACCCAGCAGCAAGTCGGCTCCCATCATGCACGTGAATTCCCATCTCTCCAACTGCGACGGATTGCTCCTACTACAGAGCAACAGGTCATATTCAAGGTCATCAAGCACACAGGTCATCTCTGACCGCCCTTCCCCCCTCCCCCGCTTGTTCGAAGGAGAGGTCATCTTCCTCTTGGGAGTTTCGGGCAGTTTGGCCCTGCACAAATTGCATGCTCTGTGACGAATTCATGCCACCACTTCCAAATACTCTGTCTATAATTTGTCCTTCGGGTGGAATATCTTCGGAGCTCCAGGCCCTACCGTGCCCGATGGGCATGGCAGCTGCGAAGTTGGAAAAGCAGTGGCTCCCAAATGTATCCCGAATCTAAACATGATACCAAGGACATGACTGGTGACAAAAATAAGAACTACATCAATTTCAAATCTAGTTCATACAGTCTAATCAAAGTAATATATGACATCCATTTTTACCTTTATTTTTATCACAAAAATTGTGCAATAGGCGGGATTATTCAAAACATTACAAAGCTTAAGGGAAAAAAAAAGTCTTCCCGACTCAAAAACAAAACAAGTAACAAAGATACAATTAGAGCTAATGCTCTATAGTTAATAAATCGCCTAGAAAATATTATTCCTTCCTTTTCTGAAGACCAAGCACTCACTCTTAGAATCTTTAACCAGTAAAGTTAAACTTGCAATGATTGGAAAATGCCCACTGCTGTAGCCACAAGGCATTTTCACAGGCAAGGGAAGGCCTAGAAATTAGTTTAATTTCATACCTGGTAGGCAAATTCAATATTACCTGCATAATATTAGTGTCATCAAGATTAGGAAGCAGCACCCCGAAGAAAAGCCCGACACCCATCGGTTTCCTCGTATAAGGTGCCCAGCCTCTTTTCAGGGCCTACCTTGAACTTCATGGCACTGAGCTGGTAGAGCAGGTCCCCCAAGGCCTCCCGAATGATGGCCCAGGTGATGCGGCGCTCGCTCTGGGCGGTGGACTCCACGGCCGCCCGGGAGAGGTCGTACAGGCCGATCATGTTGCGCAGCATGCCCACCGACTTGTAGAAGGGGCAGAACCGGTCGTATGTGCTGTAGCTGTTTTGCTGCAGGAAGTCGTCCTTCAGCAGGCGGGCCACCTCCAGCGTGATCTTGTCAGTCTCCGCCAGCGACGCCTGCCGGCAACACAACGTTTAGCAACCGGGAATCGGCGAATGCGCTCTCTGCACTGCGCCCTCGATCAGACGCCTAAGCGCCAGAGCTGGCCCTTGAAATGCTATGCATTAAAAATGTGATGCAAGACTGTGACGTGCCCCAATTCCCAAAAATTCTCTTAAAAAGGAGTGTGGCCCTACATCCGATTTTGTTTCTCAGTAATGTAATTTTGGACCTTGTAAATGGCTTTGAGTGCATAGATTGAGTTATTGCCATAAAAAGATGACCCTAAAGACCTCTTTAGTGTCAATTTAAGGATTAACATGCTACTGTAATTCTGGGCTATCTAAACCAGTCCAACAGAGGGCCTATGTAGATTACCTGAAAACTTGAATATGCAAACAAGCTCTCGGTTACACTATAATTCCTGACTCTACACTATAATTCCTGTCTTTGATTCGCTCCATTGGGACAGGGAAAGGCGCCGTTTGGCGCGGCTTCAAAAGCTGATGACGTCGGTCCACTCCATGGGACAGTTAATGCTTTTGGATTAACAAGAGATTAATCTAGATAGCCTGCCAATTTCTTACAGGACACAGCAATCTTAGGTACCTTGCACCAACACCGCAATATGCTCTTGTCGAAATGCGAATGTCTAGGCCAGGATTCAAAATCGTCAGATTTAGATCCAAGGGCTGGTACCCTAAGGCAAGGGAGACGTGCTAAAATAAAAAGCAAGAACTGCACCTTTCCAACAAGCTGCACAATTTCAGAAAGGTCCTCTTCCTCCTGAAGAATTTGCTGGCACTGGAAAAGAAAAAAACATTTTTTATGTTAGATCTCATGTTAAACCTACAAATTCTGACATCCAGTCCATGCCATCACCGCAAACTACCGAGCACGTGCCTACATCCCAAGGAGGGACTGCACAATACTTTTGAAGTGCTTGAAAACGAAGCAAAAGGCTTTTTTCAAGCAAGTATCGAGCACCCACTTCGGACTACTGAGCCCACCTTGCTACCCTAACCGTGCTGTTCCTCCTCATCAGCCACTTCTCCCAAACACCCTGGTGTAAAAAGGTGACATGCACCATACCATGTGCCCCTTCTACATTTTTGCTCCTAACGAGTACACATCCCCTGGTTCTTAAAGATTACCTCCAACTCTAAGTGGGAGCTTGCTCGGTATTTTACAACGTATAGGCGCTACAACCCCAAATTAAAAACTTTCCCAAAATGTTTTTGTAATATATATGTATCGCTGAAAAAGCCTACATACGCAACTTCCTCACTTTCCTCACTTTATTTGTTTATAGTAAATTAAAAATATTTACCCTTTTATACAAAATTTATTTCACGTGCCAAGGCAGACAAATTGGATGCACGGAATAGTGATGTCCAAGTCTTCGAACTAGAACAGCCTTTTCTGACTAGAGTTTAATGTCCAAAACACATCAGTAATTTTTTGACACTGCAGACCCTGCACGCAGAAAGGACACACATCTGTACTATATAAAATGGATCACAATCCAACTAATGCGTAGTCATCCAAGAAAAACGGCACAAAACACGCAAACGTGTCAAATAAAACGCAGTGTCTGCAGTGTTGCACGAGTCTACTGCTTCCGCTTGTTCAAACGTGTCTCGCGCCGTTTCCTTTTGTCGTAACTTAACAACTTGCCCCACTGCATGCATCAGGAGTCCTCCACAAAGCTAGCAAGCATTACGACATTGCGAGTATTTCATCACAAAAGGAACTCGCCTTGGTCCTCAACTGCACAAAGTCCGAGAAGTTCTTCTCGTAGTAGTCGTCCAGAGCACGGGTGTACTTGCTGTACGAAATGAGCCAGTTCACCGAGGGGAAGTGCTTTCGCTGGGCCAACTTCTTGTCCAGGCCCCAGAACACCTGGACAATGCCCAGCGTGGCTGACGTCACGGGGTCCGAGAAGTCTCCTCCGGGCGGAGACACGCTGCAGGGACACACAGCCGTTAGAAGACTCCTCCGCAGAACTACGGTGCCCCAAACAAGTCTTTTGGCCAAAGCATTCACACTCCCTACCCACTCATGCATCAAAAGTGGTCCTGAACTGTGTTGCCGACTCAAATCAAAAACCCACAAAAAGAATCCCACAAGCGCTAAAAACCACTTAATTTAAGGCGCACATCGAGAATGACCGTCTTAACATCCATGTTTTAATGTTTGCCCCCTTAATATCGATGGTGTTGCAAGCATCTCGCTCGCAGACAACAATTTTGTCGAGAGTAAGCAAAAACAACGAACCCAGGACTCTTAACTTGGCACAAAAAGTAAGCCATTTACTATCAATAAACACAAAACCGGAGAACATTTTTGGCCGCCAGAAAATGCGTTGAGGCGACTCGAAGAACCACCGAATATTCTGCCAACAGCAAAATGGCAATTTCTTTCGCTAGACGACCGAGAAAACCACGAAATTGTCAACGAAGGTGCAAAGTGGCAACAACTGGCGTCGCAGGAAGCAGCGTGTCGTGCAGTCGGCTGTCGCAAACCCGGCGGTTGGTCGTAGAAACACCGACGAAAAATGCGAGCAGACGCAGGGGTCGCCGTCGTCACGACGTTTCGTCTCGCGTCTGGTTTCAACTAACCGTCCGACTGCAGCACCACCAATGGCAGAACGGGCACCTGCTGCATCCGTCTCTGCCGCCGTGCCACCGCCAGGATCATGGCAGGCACCAACAGCCCAACAAATTAATGTCATCGTCGGGCGAAAATCGAGGGACCGCTTTTGCAGACGCGGTAAACGCACCAGTCCGGGGCTCGCTTCGGGCACCGTACCTCCGTGCGACACCAGTCGACCCTATGGAGGGTTCAAAACTTACGCTCCAACAATCGTCACGCTCCCCTCTCTCTCGGGGTTTCCGAGGCACTTGACTCGGCCGGCCCGCTCGTAGAAGGAGGCCAGACGGGCGGCGAGGTAGGCCGGGTAACCAGAATCTGAAAGGTGGCAGCCCCATTATAGTGCCCCTATTGGGTGGCCTTTTGCACAATCAACTAGAACTGAGGAAGCACCGAATACAGTTTCATAGATAAGAGGGCTCTGCCAAGTGGGTGTATTGACCCAAACAATCGTCAAAAACGTCGCAAATGGTGAGACTTTGAAACTGCGTGCCAACTGCTGCCCAATCGCAAGAAAAGTCTTTCGGTCACTTCGTCGATCCTAGCCAACCAAAACTGACAATGCAATTTATAACGGAGCTACGCAGTATTTAAAAAAAATTCGCAACTTTAAGGGGAGACTGATCTTCAAGAAAAAAAAATAGTAAATAAACACACATTTTTGAAGCCGTGTTTTTTAAGATTAACAAGTACTTACCTTGTCCTAAAGTACTCTTGAGAAACGAGTCTTATCTTGAAATATTGTCTCGAAAGCAAAGTAAAGGTTGGTGCATATTTTTTTGCTGTTATTTAAGAATAAACTAATTACACGCTTCGCTATTTTATGGAAGTCATTTCTCCACTTGCGCATATCTAAACTTCATTTTTTCGTTCTCTGGTAGGTGTATGTGTGAGGTATGTAATAAGGGGTATAAATATTTAAAATGTGAAATCAGGTTCTTTTAGGTGCCTTTTATGGTTTCTGCAATAAATAGTTTTGAAACTGGCAAATTCAAGTGTCATAAAAAGACTATAAATAATCATAGTTTTCATTTACACCTAGTTGGATTCCACAGACCTTTGAGTTTACTGAGATTTTATTTTCAAATTTCGATTTGTCTTAATTAACCTTTCCCATACTTTTTGCAAAGGAAACTTTCAATATTAACAGAACTAATTGGGCTACATCAAAACGAAGAACATATTTATCATCAAGTGGTAAAGGCAGATAAGCTATATAAAGTTCATTTGAATTGGATCACAATTTGTATATATAAAAAAAAGCTCTTGGTGCAGTGTGGCCCCGTAAGAGCAACATCAGATGGCACCATTTAGGTTCAAGACCCTGACTAGCTAGTGTTTACTTTGCTGTACAGTGCTTTATAAATAGGCCATCCACAAAGCAAGAAAAAAAAAATTTCAGCCCCTTTGGTCTGGATATGTAGTACATGTCCCTAACCCCAGCAGTATAAGCCCAGTGGCAGCAAACAACTCATTGGACATAACACCAAATAAAAGTGCTTTAAATGTTGGCCTTCAATCTTAATTTAGCAAGCTTTGTGTGTTTTGGCATTTTAACGCTCAGTCTCCAACATTTAGGCACCTCAATTTTCAACAAACGTTTTGTTACCCACATGTATACTCAAACTTTTCAAACTCAAAAGATGCCTACATTTCTTTGGCCGATAACCGAGCTATGTCTTGAAGCAACAAAGCAGCGAAAAATCCTCTAGACCTTGTAAACATCAATGCACATTCTAAGGAGTGTATGGCACATAGCTAGGCATTAGTGGATGGTTCAAGTTCTCTTAAATACTGCTAAAACTAAAACTCTTTACTGAAGGGCAGGGACGACCAAGGAAGCATAAATCTGAGAACACCTGGAATACTATAGTTTGACTGTTAAGAAGACGTAAGCTAGGTGGCGCAAGCTACCGCCCGTTACAAAGGGTGTAGCCGTTAACATCCATCCATCCGCTAGGTATCCAGTCTAAGAAAGAGAATCTAAACTAGGCAGCTGCCATCGAGAGCTTTACTTATCTGGTTTGCCTCCCTAGTGCTTCTGTTTATGACAAAGTGTCAGGTTTCAAGATACTGAACAGTGCTCGTGCATAAGAGACTTATCCTTTTTGTCTGATATTTATGGAATGCCCAACAGGCCAATCACAGATTGTGGGCTGCTTTCTGCCAGTTGGCCTTTAAAGGGGCAATGCAACAATTTGCGGACTTTGGCTAATTAATTGCGGGAATTGATCCCGGCCACATATAAAACGAAGGACCGAAAACTATTTTTTCCTGCTTGCCCTAGTTTTCATTAACAAAAATAGAAGAAATTGGTATCTCTGGCACCCCTCAACTCAACATTGAAGCGGCACCAGCTTCGCCTGTGACGTCATTCAGAGTGGCGTTGGTTTCCGGATGGGTGCTTCTGCCTTCCGTTTCCCCTGCGCTCGCCGCCTCGCCAGGCTCGCCGCTCTCCCGTCGATTCCCGACCAACATGGCGGCATGGGCGGACGGCCTGAGCGACCTCGAGCGCAAGATGCTTGCGTATAGTAAGTCAGTTGGACTTGTGCGGCGGGCAGTCGAAGTCGAGGTTGAGACACCAGGAACAATAACGATACCACGATACTACGGACCACGACCAACGCACTCCGTCGAGCGAGGGAAAGACAAAACGTCCGGGTTGCTCGTGTAGCCGCCGTAGGCGCCTCGGGCGTCGACGGATGTCGGCGACGGCAGGTTTTGTTGACTTGCGGTAGATGGCGCCACAAATCTTTTAGCGGCAATATTAGGCTTTTGAAGAGTTTCTGCATGCCTAAACAACACGATTTTTTAAACTTAACCTTAAATCAAGCTTACAATTGCCTAACACTATCACTTACAAAAACCACTCCGAATGACGTCACACCACAGGTTCCATTTGCGACCACCATGAGGCCGCAGGTTGGGAAAAAGTGTTTTTTATTTTGCGATTACGCAGCGAAATAGAGGTATTTTGGGGTATGGTGGCACTTTTTCTCTCACTTATGCTGAAGTAAACAATATAAAAAATAAAAGCTGCACATTCTTTCAGTGTTAAAATCATTGCACCGCCCCTTTAAGAAGAGTCTTTGAAAACGTGCTTGAAGGGAAACTATGAAACAACTAATTCTGTCCCTTCTGTGCCTGTTCCTTCGGTTAAATGTTTTTTTTTTTCCTTTTCTGCACCACAGTCCCAGGTGTTTTAACACCTGGGACTGTGGTGATTAGCTACTAACAACTCGCCTGCACACTTAGTCTTAACTAATTCTGCAAACATCTGCCTGTCAATAGCAGAACACGAGACAATAAATTAGTCTTGCTTGTGTGCATTAGTTTTCATTCTAGAAAAGTAAGTAGATTGATTTGCATAAACTTGTCAGCTTTCATGCTGACAGATGCTTGCAGTGCAAGCTCATAACAGCCCTAAGCTTCTGTTTTTTTTTTTGTTTTGTTTCTTTATATAGCTTTGATTTTTAGCAAGTCTAGCAAGCACAGTGCTAAGCTAAGTGAGAACCCTTCCCTATTGAACAACCCAGCACAACTTTTTGCTATCTGGATTGTGGAACTGGAAATCTACCTGGATTCTATCTAGATTTAAGGTTTTTAGAAATGATTTCTTTGTCTGCAATCCAGGTTTCAGGTTTTCAGAAAAAACAGCAGCTAGATTTCCAGTTCCATAATCCAGATAGTGACAAGTTATACTGGATTTCAAGGTAAGTTTCCCACTGCTGTGCCGTCCGAAATTACCATTTAGCAAAGCCTTTCCTTCGATATAAGGCTCTTGCCATTGATATGTAGATAAACGCAAGCAGCACAACTTTATCATAGGAACATAATTGCAGAACTTACTGGCTTACAGTGCAATCTCGTTGATATGATCCCGCATACCTTTTTTGGTATAATATGTTCTACAGCGAAGCTGTTTATGGTTAGGGTTCCGTGAATTTTTCGTGTGCATGACCGAAAACTACACTTGCACCGTTGCACACGTTGCACGCCTTCCCTGTATAAAAGATTCAAAGTAAATAACCAAAATAAAGCGTTGACGAACGCGCGTGTAAGATGCCATTTTTTTTTAGCTTTTGCTTTAGAACAGTTACTGCTGCAGACGCCGGCACGTGCGGCATGTGGAACACCATTCCTTGCATTCTCCTTGATGCCTGGGTAATTTAGCAATAGGTCTATTTCACTTCAGTTCTCTCGTCGTAATGGGGAGGCCGCATAATTTGGACTCCCGAAGAGCAACGGCGAGAACGGCACCGAAAATGTCAGCGGCGGTGGCGGGCAGCAAACACCACCAATGAAAATTAGGTACAAAACGTCAAGTGCATGCAACAAACCAGGCAAGACGACGAATGTCGCAGGGCAGAGAACGTATCAAGACGACGCAGGTACCATGCTGCTAAACTGGACAACTTTAATGGAGCATACACTAAATTCTGTCTTGTCTGTGTCGTGTGCTAAACAGCTTTGCTGGTCATCCATCTTCCCAGAGTGAAATAGCTCAAGATTTTTTTCTTTTCACTCTCGGCCAATGTCCCATATAAGCAATGTATTCTGATACAAAAATTATAATATTTTTTGCTTAAAATTTGATATGACTGCAAAAGTGTGTTATGGACAGGTATCTTTAAAGATGTACCGTAAAATATTGGGCAAGTGCCCACTCAAAACTCAGTGATAATCGCGAAAAAAAGGGGTAATGGGTGCTTGTCCGGAAATCAATTTTACATATCAATGTACTGTGCATATTTTCTCAGATCTTACGAATTTGGGTATGGGAGCTTAATGTGGCATGGACTGATGCGCGGTATTCTATGGTATGTTTATATCCCAGTTTACTAGCACAAATTGCATTGCAATAAGTAACGAACGACCTGCTGCCAGCCGCGGTAGTCGGAGCTGAAATTGCGTCACGGCCAGCCGCTGCGTGGCTCTCAGTTGCAAAACGACCAAGGTAGTCATTCAACAGTTGGCAGTGGCTACCGCAGCCAACTACCATGACCTCTATGCTTAATATAAAAAAAAGAAAAAGAAAACAGTGGAAGAAATGCGATCAGAAAAACAACCTGAGGCTAATATTAAAATAATGAAAGTCTGAGGACACCGAAGCGCTTCTTATGAGTTGTGAATGCCAAAGCATGAATGTCGTTCTTCCACTCCCTTGGTTCGCCTGCCGTGTACTGGCATGTCGCCGGCCAACGGTTGAGCGCAGGCTCTTGCGAAGTGGTTGCACCGCGCTGAGCTCGGTCGTGCGGCCTCTTTGGAGTCTGCCCAGACGGGCTCTGGTTCTGCCGCCACCGCTCCCTCTTCTTACCGGCAGCCGCGCCGCTGCGTGTGCTGCGCTGCCATGGAGGGGGCTTCTCTGGTGGCTTTCTTTGGTATTACGCCGCACAAGAGCCAATGGGGGGCCTTGTTACTTGATGTCGCGCATCAGCCAATGGGAGCATAATTCATCAGAAATCGGCTCCACTTGGGAAAGGGGATTTTAGGCGTGGTTTTAGGTTTGAAAGCTGAGGACATTGGTTTTCTCCATGGGATAGTTAATGCTTTCACATTAATAGTTTGTAAATGGGTCAATCCCGTAGGCAGTTCAATACTGGCGGTATCGCACTGCCCCTGGGATGAAAGTATGCATATTTATTACCTTTTGGAGCTCGTTTTGGATAGTACAATATTCAAATATTATGGTTTATTTTTCAGTTCCCATAAAAAACATATCAACGAGATTGCACTACACTATGATTACTCAGGTGTACAAAACAAATAATCAATCCATAGCAACAATTTCAGGTCAAGAGATTCCAGCTAATGCTCTACAATAAGACAGATGGGATCTTGCAATTCTTATTAAAAGTGATATTCATATCCAACAAGATAAGCAAAATAAGTCCACATTCTTTCAACGTCACAACCGTTTCAAGGTGCCTCTAAGCAGCGTGCAACAAAGAACACAAGTACTCACCAGCCGGCATTTCAGCCAGACGACCGGAAATTTCCCTCAAGGCTTCGGCCCAACGCGAGGTAGAGTCGGCCATCATAGCAACGTGATAGCCCATGTCCCTCAAGTACTCAGAGAGAGTGATGCCTGAAAAATATTAGACGATGTCAATTTTACTGCTCGTTTATTGCCCCGAAGACAAGTGTTAAAACCCTACATTTCGGACATACCTGTGTAGATAGAAGCCTCACGGGCAGCGACAGGCATGTTGGAGGTGTTGGCAACGAGTGTTGTACGGTCCATGATGGACACATTCTTGCCTCCTACCTCTGTTGTCAGCTGATATGGAAAGACCAAATCGTCAGAAACAATAGCACCAAAAGCCCCAGAATCCTGCAACGTCCAGAGCTCTTAGGGCAGTTCATCATTTGCACTGCACCTCATACAACAACATAGTGTGAGCAGACATCTACGTATAAAACTACACAAGGGACAATGTTCACGGCACATTTGTGTCCCTAGTCTAGTTTATGCCAAAGTGCCAAGTTTCAAGATGCTAAACTGACATTTTTTTCGGCTGCTTATGGAATGCCCAACAGGCCACTGCCATTGCCAGGTCGTGGGCTGTGTTCCCCAATTGGCCATTAAGAAGAGCTTCAACAGTAGTTAGTGTTCAGAAACTAGAAAAAAGCTAACTCGTACTCAGAATTTTATGACAATCCTTCTGGGAAGCCTCAAGCTGGCGTTTCACTAAGAGCGTTTCAGAATGAAAAGGGCAGCAAAAAGCTATATGTCGACAACACTTGTCACCCCAATAACGAGGCCTAAAGCTCCACTTAGCAGGCACAATGATAAATACTATTAAGAGTACCAGACTGCTCATTCAAGGAGACAATGTTCAGCAGTGCCCTCAAACAAATAAATCAGTGCCCGCAAGTCTCCCTATTCAGTTCTTTGTAACTTGTGAAATTCTAGATCTATGGTTCATACTAGTCACTGACAAGGTGCCCCTGACAAGGAGAAGCTTCAGTTGTACTGCCTCCAGCTCAAGCTTCCCATCTTCAACAATGATTCAGCACCTTGTGCACCTCGAGTGTGTGCATGCAGCCAGAGCACGGGGAAAGGTATGGAGTGCTTGCTGGAGGCCAGGCGCTCGAAAGGCGCTTCCTGTTCTTTTCATTTGTCAGAAACTACATAGCATATTATTGAACTTTGGGAGCAAGCAACGAAATACCTCGGTTAATGTCAAAAATCACGAGCACTAAATCGGATCTGCTGGCTGAAAAACAAGCCCACCTCGGGGAAGTCCCTGAGCACTTCCGACATCTCGTTGCCACGTTCTCCGCAACCGACGTAGACGATGGCGTTGCTGTTGGAGTACTTGGAGAGGGCCTGCGAGATGCAAGTCTTGCCACAACCAAAGGCACCGGGAATGGCAGTGGTGCCTCCCTGGACACACCTGCAGTCAGATGCAAAGAATGTAGTCGACTTCCCAATAGCACAACAATCCAGTTCACTTGCTTACTATAGTTTGCTTCGCTTCCGTCTGCTAGCGAAGTTCAATTAGGCTACAAGCAGGTTACCCTGAGCGATGCTTGCACTGCACATACTTGGAAAGAACGCCAAAAGCCCAGAGCTCATTCTTGCAGCTTCTGCTACACCCACACTTAAAAGTGAAACAGAGTACAGTTAAACCTGGATGTAGCGAACCTGTATACAACGAAATCCTCTATTTAACAAACTTTTTCAATTCCCCGACGCGATCTTCATAGAAGCGCTTGTATTTGTGAACTCCATGTAACGAAGCGCTCGCGATGGATAACTTTGATTTAACAAACTCGCTCCGCCGCAATCTCCATTTTTTTTTTATCAGTGCCTATACCAAGTTACCTAAAATGCAGATATATTCTCGTCCAATTGCCACCAAAGGCGGGCAGCTGACCAAAAGACGTTGGTAATGGCAGCGAGCGGGCACGGCAGAGGCACGCCGTTGCACTATCCGGGCGCCGCCAGACCCCCAGCCTCTCGTGCAGCTGGGGGTGTCAGCAGCCTTTTGACGTCGCTACACAAAAGTCACCACGAATAAACGCCTGACTTTACTTGCCACAATTTTGCGATGAGACACTACTTAGGGACACGAGGAGCAGCCGACAGCGTCCGATTTTATCGTTGTTTCACGAGCACATATAGACATGTCCGCAAATGTCTCGCCGTCCCACAGAAACTCCCGCCAATAAGCTGAGACTCACGAGACGTAGCGTAGCAAACACTGGGCAGAGATGAACACAAAACAAACAGCTACAAGTGAAACCAGCGGTCCCGAAAGTTGACGCCAACGCCGACAGTCGTGTTGCTCACCGCTGTCACAGTTCGACACCAGGCAACAGGCCGACCAGGCGACGGTATGATCGACCTAGGGAATCTAGGGATCTTTCGAATATTTTTTCCCGGGGACAAGTGAAGTCAGTTAGTGAGTCACAGCATCGTTCCGTCAACGTGCCGCCTGAAGCATGAGCTCCGCTACTAAGAAACGGAAAGTTCTGTCTCTTGAAGACAAAGCCGCTATCCTGGATGCGGTGTCTGAGGGTGAAAGAAAAAAGGATGTTGCAGGCCGTTTTGGCATCCCAGCGAGCTCCCTGTCAACAATTTTGGCCTCAAAAGACGCAATCCGGAATGCAATGAAAGCTGGCACAAGCTCCAAGAAGAAAAAGCTGAAGTCGTCAACCTACGCAGACGTGGACAAAGCGGTATTCACGTGGTTCCTAGACATGCGTGCGCAAAACATTCCTATTAGTGGTGCAGTACTGCAGCAAAAAGCAAGGGATTATGCGTGCATTTTAGGCCACTATGATTTCATGGCAAGTAACGGCTGGTTACAAGGATTTAAAAGTCGACACGGAATCGTCGGGAAAGTTTTCAGCGGAGAATCTGCATCCGCGGACCGAGATGGTGCTTCTTCCTGGGTGAATAACGAGCTACCGAAGATCTTGGATCATTACGAAGCGGCGGATCTGTACAACGCCGACGATACGGCGCTCTTTTTCCAGATGCTTCCGAGCCGCATGCTTACATTAAAAGGAGACCGCTGTCATGGAGGCAAACAAAGCAAACTCCGAGTGACGGTTTTGCTTTGCACGAACAGTGACGGATCTGACAAACGCGTGCCGCTCGTTATTGGAAGGAGTGCCCGGCCCAGGTGCTTCAGAGGAACAAAAAGAATGCCTGTGAAGTATGTGGCGAACTCAAAAGCGTGGATGACATGGGACATTTTCCGCGAGTGGCTAAACGAGTTCAACGAAGCGGTGAGGAAGCAGGGCCGCCAGGTGTTTATTTTTAGACAACTGTTCAGCACACCATGTGGAAGGCCTCGTGTTATCGAACATTGAGTTGCAGTATTTTCCGGCCAACTGCACGTCATTGGTTCAGCCTCTTGACAAAGGTATTACCAACAGCGTAAGGTGCGCCTACCGACGTCGGCTGATTGCGCAACTGCTCCTGAACATCCGCCTCCACCGGGAGACTAAGACTGACATCTTCCAAGCAATTGAGATGCTTGCGGCGTCTTGGCAAGAAGAAAAAACGCAGACCATCGTCAATTGCTTTAGGAATGCCCAGATAATCAAGGACATGTGTCACGACCGACGACGGTGACGAGGAGCCGTCAAGCCTCCCCGGTCTCGCTGAAGATTGGAGTACGCTGTGCACGAACGGAGTGGTTCCCGACGGTATCCAGCGGAGTGACTTCTTATACGCGGACAACTGTGCCGTGTCTACCAAGGAAGTATCGGACCAAGCCGTGGTCAAAAGCATACGAGACGTCGACAACGATGGCGAATCATCTGAAACTACTGAACCGCCTGTGGTGCCCACCGCGAGGGAGGTCTTGGATGCCATCGATATAATACGCCGGGTCGCCGGCTCTCAGAATGACGACAGCGCTCTAAACGCTTTGGTGTCTTCCGAGCGCTGCGTGCTGCCTTCGCTCATGCGGAAGACACAAGGCAAGCTCACAGACTTTTCCACTATAAATAAATGATGTGGTGAGTTTGCCCACATGGATTTTTAATTTTTGCTTTCTTTCCACGTGTCCTTTACGAGTTTTTCCTGCAAAAACTGCATGTAACGAAATCCTCCATATAACGAATTATTGCAAAATTTTATCAATTTCGTTATATCCAGGTTTAACTGTATAGCACATGTCCCCAAAACGCATTTTCTAGGCTTCGCTCGACAGCTGTGTGCTTTATATGCCGCCTGGCCTAAGATTTAACCGTAGACAAGTGATTAGCTGAAGGCCTTCAACAGGCAGCTACGCATTTTTGCCACTTGATATGGTCTGATGGCTCAAGAAGTGGATACTGTGCTTCTACAATCATATGTCAATTTAATCGCGAATTAAAAAAAAAAAACAATAAACAAATAGAGCAGATTTTACTTTGCCTAAGCAGCAATACAGGATGTAAGGACTTCTGAGATAGCTATGCAATGCTCCACATTTTGATTAACATTTAAAAGCTATATATAACGTAGAGCACCACAGGAGCATAAATGTGGTCTTAAAAACACAACCCATGTCATTTAGACGGAAGGGCCCTGTAGTTTTATTATACATATAAAAATTATTCCATGACCATAGTGTTGTAAGTCTTACTGACTAACACCTAAAGAAAATAAAACATTAAATATAATTTAAGTGTTCCACTCCTAAATAAAGGCATCACCGAGGACTCATTGCATAATAAGAAACAAAGTCCTCCAAATCTATAAATTAAAAAATTATGAAAAGGTTATTGTGCATCTACACTGAGCAATACAGCACAAAGACACTGGCACTTTGTGTTTTGCACAGAATTACACCCTAGGTTGGAACCCACATCAGCACAATCTTGAGCTCTTTCAACAACCTACTAGGTGCAAAAAAAAAAAAAAAAAAAAAATTTAGCAATCGTTTCTTACTTTATTCTATTCACAAATACCAGCAATTCCCACTTTGTGCAACTAAAAGTGTCACTGAAAAGTTACAAGTTGTAAAAAAGAAAAAAGCAATTGCTTCATCATGCTAACTGTATTGCACTCCGCACACTTTTCAAAGCACAGCAATTTCCAGCCAGGTGCAATCGAAAAGCCTTTTCGAAACAAAGCCGCTGCGAGCACTGTATGCGGTCTAAAGGTTCCTCACGGAAAGAGGGCATCCAGCACTCTTTGTCCAGTCAGGAGCGGGTGGTTTGCCGCCAGTTTCTCAGTGACTGGCCTCATGGTGCGCACAGGCCACACCTGCATCATGGTGTAGGTGTTCTTCTCGCCATCAAATTCTGTCTCCAGCACAACGTCCTGGGAGGTAGGAGAAGCAGAGAAGTCAACATCAGGCCACACGAAAGGTATATTTTAGTGTCTGTTCATTGCTGCAGCATCCAGATATGAAGAATATAGTAAAACACCGAGCATGCACCCATGTCATACTTTTGAAACATTTGCGAAGTAAAGGACGTATCAAGCGCCCCCACCAGACTTCTGAGCCCACCCAGCTAACCAAGATGCCCCCTGCGCCGGTCACTTCTCCAAGCACACCGGTGCTAAGTGGTGAAGCTGAACTCGTACATGCTGGTGAAGAGCAGAGAAGCCCAATATACTTTGCGCCCTTTTGCATGTTTGGTCCCAAACCTAACACTCCAGTTTTTTAAATCAAGTTTGGGTTTTACGTGCCAAACCAATGAAGGGCATCTGGCACGTCAACAATTTCAACCACCAACCAAAATCTCAGGTACATGGCAAATCAAATCAAATTTGGGGGTTTTACGTGCCAAACCTACGACGGCCATCTGGCACGCCCCAGCGGAGGACAGAGGATTAATTTGGACCACCTGGGGATCTTTTGACGTGCAACCGAAAGCTCGGTCACACGGTGCCTTCACCGCAATAAGCCTCCGTCAGATTGCGGGCACTTCGGCCGGGATTCGAACCCGCCACATGGGACAGTTACATGGCGCTTTCTTTGCCATAAGCCTGCGTCAGATTGCAGGCACTTCAGCCAGGATCCAAATCCGCCAACTGGTGATCCATGTAGGCCATCACTTTGCCTCAAGGTTCCAGAAACAGCTCTAGTTCTTGGAGATTATTGTCCAAATTTTAGGCGAGCGTTTGCTCTGTATTTTACCGTTAAAAGGCAACTTTGCTTTATTTTTGTTTTTGAAAAACAATGCAGTCCTCTTCAGTATTATTTAGAAAGACCAGACATCAAATATTACAAACTAGTTCTGTCTAAATGTTTCTTAAACGGTCCGGCAAACTTAGCAATTCGCCTAGTAGCTGAAATTGCCTGCCCTGAGCGGGCGAATTGAGGCGCAATCGACAGTGCAGTCAAGGCTACAGCGTGGGCGTAGCGAACATTGAGCTAAACCTTATCTCTATTGCTCCCTTTTGCTTGTTTTTACTTCTCCGGGCAAGCACAACGGGAGACGTCAGCAACGTTTCCTCTCAGAACTCAGCATTGTCCACGTGATAAACGTGCCTGCACAACGTGCTTCTTGAGAGCCGTCCGCCCGCCTCGCCATGGTCCTGCCGTCTACCGCGTCAAAACGGCCGTCGTCGTCGTCTCGGTTTGCGATTATTGTCTCTCGGAGTTTCGTTCACACAACGGACACTGTGTGCGCAGACTTGTGCCTCAGTTGTGCGGACGTCATTAAATGTCCTGGACACCAAAATGTAGTGAAGAGTGCGATGCAGACGACACCTGCGCCTGGTACACGCCTGCCCTAGTCCCGCCAGTTGTTGCATAGAGGATCACGTAACATTTGTATAGATTTCTGCTTGTGTTTAGAATTATATTTGGCAATATATTACATTTTTGCTAAGCAAATGACGTAGTGCCTTACTAGTGCTTTTTAATGCGAAATCACTCATTATCCCAAAATCTTCAGAATTGATAGGAGTAGTCCTTTAATTGCTATTCATTTTATTACCTTAAGGGCCTCATGAGGAAGGCATTACATAAGGAAGATGTTAAATTCAATTTTCTATATTAAAAGAAAAACTGCAAAAAAGAAAAAGGGGTCAGGAAACATTACATAAACATTATTCAAACATTATAGAAATCTCATGCAAAAAACATTTGTAATTAGTACTAGTTACCAAACTTGATGGCAGGCTATACCAGTCTGATGTGCAAAATGAAAGGAGTGAGCATTTAAATGTGTTTGTCTTGGAAAAAATGGGTTCCACTTTCCAGGAGTGATCGAGGAGAGAGGAAATTTGGTGTGACGGAGAAAAAGGTTTGGAGAGACCACGGGTTATGATACAATCTGTGAATGAAAAGAGCCGGTCTATTCTTCGAATGTTGAGAAGTTGTAGGGATATGAATAGTTTTAAATAAGAGATGCTACTCCAGGAGTAGTTACAAGCGATAAAACAAGTAGCACGATTTTGGACAGCTTCCAGTTGGTTAGTTAAACAGCTTCAAAGAGGGTTCCACATCACTGAAGCATACTTGGTTGGTTTGTGGTGCCAAAACGCAAATTAAGTATGAACATTTGGGCAGGGACTCGGACCGAAAAATACAATGTTTCGGTTATGGTTACCGTTTTCCGCTGATATCAGTTTCGTTTGTTTTTTTGCGGCTTTAATTCTTAAGGCCCGTTCACACTCTTGCGACCTCTTAAACCTGGGTTCCTTAAAACTACTTAAACCAGAGAACACACTGGCGCCATCTATTGGGAAGCAGGGTAAACTCGGCGGTCCAGCATATTTTTTATATTTCTCACGCATTATCCTTTCTTTCTTGGCTCGAAAAACTTTTGTCAATGTTATAAACGAGCCTTTCTATGGGTATTACGCACATTTGACCTCTGAAATCCCGCAAAACCTTCGCTCTTGTGAAATGCAGTTCCAGGGTCACCGCATAGATGGCGCCACAATGCCAGTGTGTTCCCTCATTCTAAAAATATTTACGAAGTTTTAAGAGATCTCGTCTCTCTCAGTCGTACTCGGTCGCAAGAGTGTGAACGGGCCTTTACTGTTTCGGTTAGCAGTTACACATCCCTAAAACTTTTTTCTTCTTTGTTTCTCCAATAATCTGTTTTAATGAAATCTTAGACAACCGTTTTATAATAAATTGTTTAAAGTAGCCCCATATACCATACAATGGGACATTCAAAATAGCGAGAACTCAAAAACGTCTTAGCACTTCTAATTGGTCCAAAGTTGCACACGTTTCTAGCTCCAACACTTGTTCGCTACATCTATTTGCATTATACAGTTTGATATCCAAACTTGCATGTTACCACCGCCACTCGGGGATCATTGCATTGTATACAATAAAAACAAACATTGTTACTTTGTTGTTCCGCAGCGTTCGTAAACAACCCTCAGAAAGTTCCCACTGGGTCACTTCAGGCCACCATGACAGATAGCAGAGAACATTTCCGGTTCGGGTTTTGTTTGCATACTTTTAAAGGCCAACATCACCGCTATGTTTATTGTGTTTTGCAACTAAATCTGTCTTTTGTAATGTTTTCCGCGTCCACTGGCTTCTTGAAGTTCTGTAATCTTTCGCAATTGACTGGGCAACTTTGCTGCAGCAAATCTCCGCAAAATAAAAGATGCTGCAAGACGACTCGGCGGCCGTTGAACGCCGAGAGTCTGTCACGCGAGCGTCAATTTCACACTCGGCACTAGGATCGCTTCGTTTTGAAATCAAAGATGCACACAACCGACTCTTTCGAACAACGAAGAAACATGACCAAATGAATCACCGCTCGAGTTCTTATGCAAATAAAGGGTGGACTAAAAATATTAATTAATGTTTGCCCAACTATATTTTAGCCTGAACCCAGGTTTTCATAACAAAGGGCACTGATACAGATCAACTTGGTACTGCATAAAATATTTAATAATCAAAAAAATAATTTATCATTCTTTTTTTTTTTCAATATTAGAGCAGGACTTGGTACTGCATAAAATATTTAATAATCAAAAAAATAATTTATCATTCTTTTTTTTTTTTTTTTTTCAATATTAGAGCAGGAGGTTTACTGACTAATTTTCGGGTGCATGCAAGCTTGTAAACAGGTGGTTCATGCAAGAGTCCTTAAACTCCAGCAAAAACCCAGACGAAATAAAAACTCGCCGAAGACACTAAAAATTGCTTACATGTAGGAATGCAAAAGCATTCCTACACACAGCACATTGTTACAAGCAGGAAGCCAAGTCTTCTTTTCACACACGGCGCTTTGTCGGTGGCATCATGCTCGCCCACCGCACAAGCGTGCCAAACCCCGCCGGCCTCACAACAGCATCCATGACAAAGCATCTGCATTTGTGTGCTTTTCTTTGAGTTTTATCTTTGAGCGACGGTGGCAACGTTTCGAGCCTTTCCCCTCTGGCTTGCCGACCTGCAGATGGCCATTACTTCATTCCCACCATAGTACAGCTTCGCTGGTCTTCCTTCTTCACCCGAGTGCAAAGGCTGGAAGTTTTTTTTTATTCTTCTACTGTCTTTTTCTTCACAAGTGCTTCCATCCTGCTTGGTTTCTCTGATCCCACAACTGAGTGGGGTTTGAAGTTCACACTCATTAGTAACTATGGCACAGCAGACAAGGAAGTCTGCTCACTTTTAAGAAGTTTAGACAGATTTATTTCGCAACATTTTTAGTCACTTTAGCTTTGGATCCACCCCTAATTTTCACATAAAGGTTTAAAACGAAACTATCCACCTGTATGTGAATAAATACTGTAGTGCCGCCACAGTCATGAAAGTTCATGTGAATTAAACTGCCGAAAGTTGCTTCGTCTCTCATCTGCAAGCCTGTAGAAGTGTTGCATGTTACTTTTTCCCCCAAATGGTTCCCTGCAAAGACGTGTCTACAGCATTCTACTGTACCGAGATGAGGCAGCTTCGATAGGAGGGGCTACACAAACCATGCCGACGGGGGGAGGCTGGTCTTTAACTTTGTGTTTTTTATTTTTCATTTATTGTGTTGAAATTTAGTATACCGATGTATTTCTCAGTGGTGATTTCAAATGTGCAATTAGTTTTCAGATAGTTTTACTAGATCGCGAGTTATCAATAAATTTGTAATTTTAATAAGGTCATCCTTACAGGTCGTTGGCGTAAAATTCTTCAGTATATATCAGAAATTTTTATAGAATTGCATTCATCGAGACATGTTTTGTACAGTGATCCTATTTTAAGCCTGTTTTAATGATATTACATTAATAAAAACTTTTGCAGTCAAGTTGCACAAAACGAGAGGCTATAAGTTTTTAAGACTAATTAATTAAAATTATTGTATGACATATAAAGCAACAAAAATAGCATCACCGATCAAAGCATGTCTTGGTGAATACAATTTTATAAATATTTCTGATATATTCTGAAGAATTTTACACTAACGACCCGTAAGGACCTAATTAAAATTACAAATGTATTGATAACTCAGGATCTGGTAAAGCTATCTGAAAACTAATTGCATATTTGAAATCACCACTAAGAAATACATCAGTATACTAAATGTCAGCACGATAAATGAAAAATAAAAAGCAAAAATTTGCACCTTCATATTATTGATATGAAAGTGGAACAATCAGCATCAAACCTACCCGACTGATGCGACAGACACTTCTCTACATTATTATTTCAAGTGAACAGAAGTATGAACAAAAACTCAAGCTCCAGATAAAATCTGCCTTGGACATTCAAGGAATTGGCTGGGAGAAGGTATTTGAAGTGATTAGGTAAACCGGTAACAATGGCACCCGAAGGCACAAGGATACTCACACTGACAGTGTAGTTTCCAGGTTCGGCGATGTAAGTCACTGTGCCTTTTGACTTTGGGGGCAACATAATCTTGTGCTTGATCAAATCATTCTCGTGCACGACGCCGTAGATATCACCACCGGTCACATGACTGCCAACCTGCAATGAGCGGGGCCAAGCAGATGTGATCAACTATACATGGGATTCCATGTTCAGAGTTTATTTCTCATGAAATTCGGAGGGTCTTTTTCGGAGTTTATTTCTTGCTTAATATTCGGAGTTTATCAGAGTTCATTTTTGTTATATTCCAAATTCTCAGAAAAAGAAAATTAGTTTTCGCTCATTTCCATATTTTCAGGAGTGAAAATAAAAACATATGTTAACTGGTAGGTACAGCTGGAAACAAAAGTGCCCAGGATGCGCGCGAGCTGCGACTGAAACTCATTGCTCTGCCATCTGCCGGCGGGTCGCCTGGTTTCGAGATCACACAAAAGCGCATGCGCGTCCTACTGTGCCTGCAAACATGTTTGTCTTCCCGCTTTTCTGCGGCGCGGCGCCTAACTCTAAATCGGGTGCATGGTGCCGCCTTGGAGATAGCACTTGCGGCTGATGAGCGTCTGCTACACATCCTGAAACTGGAGATACCGCTTGCGGCATTGCACCGCATTTCGCCGTGTCAGCGCACCTTGCTTTATAACCAGTTCAGTTCATCGTTCAGTTAAGCTGCCGTGACTTCTTGCTTTATAGGTGCCATGTCAGTAAGCGCTGTCTCCGAGGCGGTACCACGCGCCCGATTCCAAGTTAGGCGCCGCGCCGCAGAAGAGCGGGAAAACACACGTTTGCAGGCACAGTAGGATGCGCGTGCGCTTTTGTGTCATCTCGAAACCAGGCGACCCGCCGGCAGATGGCAGAGCAATGCGTTTCAGTCACTGCTCGCGCGTCCTGGGGACTTTTGTCCCCGACTGTACCCCTACACCAGATTTATAAGAATGCACATAAACTGTGTGTCATTGGTATCCTTGCCATTAGTAATATGACTGTCCTAAGACAAAACGTGAAAAAGACACATTAAAATTAATGAACTATTTGATAAAGCCATTGGGAAGCTTGTTTTCTTTTCATCCTACCCAACCACATCTCCCTGCGGCTGCGCAGGGTGGACTGGTGAAATAGATGCCTCAGCTGGCCCTCCCATGAAATCTAAGAGTTCATAGCTTTCACGGTTAATCTGGAAACCGAAACAGGGATTTGTGTCATGACCCAGTATTGTAATGCCCTGCTGTCTTGAACGAACCCCGACAAAATAATTGGAATTTTTTTTTGGCCAATACTACGAGTTTTTGAAGGAATCTGGGGAGGCCTCTCCTGATGACCGCTGAACCTGTGCTCTGACCCAACTTACTAATGCAAAAGCATTAACTGTCCCACGGAGCGAACCAACATCAGCTTTTGAAGCCGCGCCAAGCAGCACCTTCCCCAGTCCCGATAAAGCGAAGCCTGTCGTCTGCAGCAGAAATCTGATGGATAGGCTCCCACTGGCTGGCACGCATCATAGTTCCAAGGAACGAGGCTCCCATTGGCTAGCGCGGCATAGTTCCAAGGGACGGAACCAGAGAAGCTCTCTCCATGGCAGCGCAGCGCAAGTGGCAGCCCGGCCGCCGGCAAGAAGGAGCAGAGCCCGCATGGACAAATTCCGGAGAGGTTGCACGGCCGAGCTCAGCGCGGCGTGGCCACTTCACGAGAGCATGCGCTCAGCCATTGGCAGCTACCTCGGCAGTAGCGAAACGTGGCCGTCCACGCCATTACACTGCAGATGAACTAAGGGAGCGGAAGAACGACACTCAGGCTTACGCATTCACAACTCGTAAGAAGTGCTGAGGTGTCCTCGGAAATTTGTTTTGTAGAAAACTGCATTTTCTACAAACAAGCTTTGCGACTTCTAAAATTGGATCTTTTCGAATAAGTTTAAATTTAAGAATGTTAAACCGGCGATTGTTTTTCGGATTTTATCAGATTTATCTGAGAACACTGAACCCTAACTATACATCAAAAATGCTGTGCGGCCAACTTTAATAACTCGCGGCTCCGAGTTATACTAGTTAGTTATACTTGTGTTATACAGAAGTATAACTAAATTACACTGACGGATGGCACTGCTCCCAGTCACTTATTCCGTAGTGTAATTAGGCTGTAAGATGCAAGATTCTCACTAAAATGAAATTCCAAAGTTTGGACAGAAGATACCGTCAGAGAGGAGTGCCCCCACCTTGAAGGTGGTCGGGTTGAACTCCCACTTAAGGTCCCGCCTGAGGGCCGGCGTGCTCACGCCCTTGGGCAGGTAGATGCTCTTGCACAGGGCGTGGATTTCTCGCAGCGGACGCTGGATGCCGTCGAAGATGTTGTTCATGATGCCCGGCCCGAGCTCCACCGACAGGGGCTTGCCCGTCCGCAGAACGGGGTCCCCCACCGTCACTCCCGCTGGGGACAGGGCGGCGTCAAGGAGAGTAGTCCCAAGGCCACACAGTGCAATGCGACTGGGAGGTGCAGGAAGCTTCCCTAATACACAGAGCACAAGCTAAAACTAACATGCACTTTTTAGCATAAAGCTGTGTACATCTACAAGCGCCCCACCATTACTTCGCATTAAATCTGGGAAACTGACAACAGCCCGTACGAAGCCGAAAGAGGAAACTAAGTGTTCACAGCTGGCAAGGGGCGACATTTGAAGGTACTGCCAAATTGATGATAACAGCCGAGTTTTACCGGCTACAGATCAATGGATGTTTGGACACAAAACCCAGTCGCCACTAAAGTAGTGAAAGAACTTGCATGCACTGGGGCATTACGTAGATGGTACCATTCAAAAAACTTTGGTGAAGGCCTCAATCAGCAAGTGCCGAAAAAAACTGTGCAAGATCAAGAAGCCATTTTAGAATATAGTTTTGAACAAGATGCACACATTAAGGAAGGAAGAGCAGCCACCCCCAGGTTCTGGCCTTTTAATGTTTGTCATTAGATCGACAATTAAGGATAAAAGGGGAGAGGGCTGCATTATGCTAGCCAGAGGAGCATGTGGAAGGAAGCACGAAAGAATTTCTTAGAAACCCCCGATTACTGTTGGCACCTAAGACTGATGCCACCAAACATACTCCCCAAGGAACAAAGTTTCAAGCTACACGCCTGAAGTGCACCAAACAGAAGAGGCGGTTTTGAAAAAGCATTCTTTGAGAAAGGATACAGGTCTCCTCGTAAACCTGGATGGTGGCCATGTCTCCTTCCAACTTGATGATCTCCCCGACAAGCTCCTCGTGCCCTACACGGACGAGCTCGTACATGGCCGCCCCGGACATCTTCTCCGCCGTGACGACTGCGGGAATCATGGAAAAAAATAAAATAACTCCACTATCAAGGGTGTCGGCAATGACACAAAAGACTAAATTTGAAGGGGTGAAACCTTGATGCCAGAAAGCAATGAGGAAGCAACATGCCGGCAAGGCGCCGATTTTGTGGATTGAAAGTTCATTTCTGGAAATATTATATGAAGATTAAGTTGCAGGTTAAGAGCAGGCCAATTGCACCTCCCGGAAAGCCTTCCACTCTTCACTTTGGCAGAGCAAATGCTGGACAGGAGGTAAGTCCACTCGCCTCTTCACCAGTGCTTGCTCTGTTAAAGCAGAAAGAGTGGAGGGCTTTGTGGGCGGAGCTTGTCCTGCAAACAGAGCATACACATCAAGTTCCAACCCAGTCACACCTCCTAACCAGTAGGCGACAAATGCGGGAACGTCTATCCAACTATGGCCATCTCATCAAAGTTTGGCCTTGCTCATTGGAGATCCCTAGCTCTGTGGAGTATTGTAGATTATGACAGCTTGGGACCAGAATGATGGTTCGCCAAATAGAATCAAAAGGAATTGAGGCGCACGGGTAATAGGTAGCATAAAGCACCACATTTTCAGATGCCCCACTAACTCTCGATGCTCAAAGGTAACGAAAGGCTCCCTCAAGCTTTTTTTCGCCGCGTGAAGCCGGAGTTGGTCGACGAGAGGCTGAAAGCTTACCGGGTCCGGACACCGCGTACACGTAGCCCAAGGAGGACTCCTTTTCGACATTTTTAATCTTCGGTAAAGACATCTTGGCTCCTCAGGTAAGCAGCCGAAACTGGAAAGGGAAATCAGTATTACGTTCGCGCCGGAGTACCAGAAACGCGAAATACGCACGCGGGTATGAAACAAAACTGCGGCATCATATGAGAAGCGACTGTCACATGACGCGCAGGCGAGTGCACCCCAGGCAAGCACAACTCCTCCGCAACATGAAGAAAAAAAAAAAACTTTCAATTGAAAGAGCTGGTTTCCAAGTGCGACCTAAGCTTTCGCATGGCCCGCATTTGGCTTTCGGAGAAAAACTGAGCGAATTTGTTCAAGTAAACGGATATCGTGAGGCGATAACGAGTTCCACTACCGACTTCCCCTGCCTTGGCGAATTTCAAAACCTTTGCATGAACAGGGAACCTGGAAAGCTACGCTTGCTCATAATTTAAAGGAGCATGCAGATAACTAGCTGCTCCGAAAAGACCAATTTTTTATACGAATTTTATGTAATTTAAAGTGACGTTTGCGGGTTGACACCTGCGAAAAGTGCCTGACGAAAGGCGAACAGTATATCGCTTGGGGATTAAAAATAAACACAAATTTGGACCTAAGAAGTAATCGAACTAGTTTGTCTATCAATTTCGCGGACCTAGGAGAGCCCCATGCGTACCAATGCAAAGAGAAATGAAAATACACCGCAAGTATCGACGGTAACACCTACCGCACACACAGCCGGCTGCGAGAAGAATCACATGATCGGTTGCGGGAGCCAGATATTTTAAAAGACGATATATCTTGAATCGTTTCATAATAGTAAATAATGTACTGTTTCTTTATTTTTAGTTAAGCTTTCCTGCACTATAATTTTGGATCGAGAAAATATTATTATTCAAAATTCAGGACGTGGTCAGTTGCGTATTCAACGACTTCCGCAACTTCCGGTAGACTGTTCACATGCTTTGATGTTGGCGCGAGTGTTAGTTGTCTTGCTTTTAAACCTATATTTTTGAGACTTAATGAATTAAAATGACAAAATCGAGGTGAGTGAGGAACACGCATTTTATGTCGAGTTCTTAAGGGTGCATCTCGCGCGAGCAGGTTCGACTGCGCGGTACAGTGGCACTCTGGAACGATCACGCTTTTCGCCATATATGAACAATGTGCGCGCGGTACCGGAGAAATAACTTATAAAAAATATTCCTAGACTCCAGTAATTTACCAGCATTCACACAAACCTCACGCACCTCCCTGCCGCAAACGGGGAGATTTTCCGAGACTTTAAACGCGTTGCAGTGACGGAATGTTGGTGTTAGGCTTAATCGCTGGTTGGGAGAGAAGAATCCGGAGTTTCTGACTTGTATATTCATTCTGGGAGTTCTTGCGCTTTCTCCCATCTTTTTTATTTTTGTTTAAAACGCGTTAGAGAAATTTCCGGCCGTATATGTGTCCGGTGCTGGGGGACGTCCGCAAATAACGTCGAATCCTTTACCGTCAGCCGGCATAACTTGAAGAGATAGCGCAAAAGAGACGGGACAAAAAGACAAAAAAGCACACAGGACAAACGCTTAGCGTTTGTCCTGTGTGCTTCTTCGTCTTTTTGTCCCGTCTCTTTTGCGCTATTTTTAATATGAATGTCCACTACCAACTTGCCCAGCAGACCAAGCTTTTACAATAACTTGAAGAGCCCCTGCTTCTTGGTGATTCACGCTGCTGTACTACTTGCTCCGTCCCAAAATACATCTCGTGTTCGGGGCCCTCACACGAGTCATGTGTCGCCTCCTTCCTTCCACCAGAGGTTGTAGGATCGAATTGGGAGATGTGACGCCCCACAACATCAATCAGCTGAAGCGACTAAATCAGGTGGTGTTCCCGGTCAGCTACAACGACAAGTTCTACAAAGATGTCCTCGAAGCTGGGGAACTTGCCAAGCTAGGTGAGTGAACCGCCTGGCTTGCGCGCAGCTCTGAGCCTCGAGCTCGTCTCAGATACAGTATAAACGAGTCCTTTTTTTATTATGTCCTGACATTGTTCCTTGTCACGCGATTGCAGTGCTTTCTGTCAGTCGAGGAATGTAAGCGTCACTCTGAATTTACGCTGATTGATGTGTGTTATATTTACGGACTGCCATAGCCGTGTTTGCTGAGTATATGTCAACACTGCCTTCGCTGTGTGCATAGCACACCACGATAAAATTGCCTTTGCTATCGAAAAAATTGAGGATTTCTGCCAGGTAGCAATGGCCAGTGATTATTACCCGATTGTAACCTGCATTGAAGTCAGTTAGATCGAAACGCTGCACATATCTTTGCTCTCGCTCCTCGGGTCCTGGGAGGGGCAGCACTCGGATCACAAGGCTGGTGTGTCGAGGTCAAGTTGGCAGCTGAGATTGCAGTGCTGATGTGTTTTTTTTTGTTGTTGTTTTTTCTCTTTTAGCTTACTACAATGACATTGTTGTGGGAGCCGTGTGCTGCCGGATCGACACTTCGGAGAACACGAGGCGTCTTTACATTATGACCCTAGGATGCCTGGCACCTTACAGACGGCTGGGCATTGGTAAGGGTCTCTGAAGGCATGCCGTGGGATTTATTGAAACAAAAAGACACCAGGAAGGCTCAGGAAGGAATCTGTAAGGTCTTCAGCATGATCCAAACCAATGCGTTTTTGTGTGCGCCTAAACCGTGCAGTTCCGGGAAATTGCACGGCCTTGCAACGTCGCGCTGATTCCATACGCCATCCAGGATCATATAAGAAAGTTAGATAATTTAAACTTTTTCTGAAGGTGCAAGAAAACGCACTATGATGTAGCAGGACATTCCTGTCTCCTAGCCAATCGGTGGAGGGCACTAGCTCCGCCTCCGCGTTTCTTCGCCGTCTGGCGCACATGCTCTCTGCTTCTTTGCAAGTATGGCTGCGTCTATGAACTTTCTCCCTGTTTCCGACCCAAGGAACGTGACTTCTGCAGTGAAAAGAAGGCTGCTGCAGATGCGCAGAGGAAAGCCGAAGCTGCATTATGGTTGGTTTTCACTTCACCGCCAGAGTGCGCTCGTGCTTGCGTGCGTGCATGGTTGTGACTCAAGAAGTGCCCCCGAAACAGCTAGAACGTAACAAAATACGCAATTTCCGGGAAGCGCACAGCCTCACGGGCACAAAAACGCGTTGGTTTAAGTCGTGCTTTACAGAATCATTCCTGTGAGGTCCCAGTTTACAGGGACTAAATCAGCACATTTGATGCTGTCATTGTATCGAGTTTCGACATAACTTTGCTGTGGCTTGCTCCATCAGAATGACCGAACAAATAATTTCTGTGCCAGTATTGTTTTGGAACATTTATAATGGCGTATCAAGGTTGTTCTCAACTGTTGTTTCACAGACCCCTTGTAGATCGGTGGAGATAACGGAGGACCCTGTTCGTGGTGAAGTAGACTTCTCTTATTGACCCATGGACGAAGAAACTCACCCACAGATTGTAATGTTTCTTCTCAATCTGAGAAAAGAACACTTTTACTGCCGGGCTTAACTAATGAGGCTGGGCTTTGCGGACCCCCCCCCCCCCTTTGAGAACCACTGGTGTATCAGATATAGCTTATTTAAAAAAATAGCTTTATGGGTTACCTTTGCAGTTTCTCTGGTTCATAAATTTTTGCTGCAATTTGCTCTGATGTACTCATTCTCTTTGTTTTGCTTACTTTTTCTACTCAGGAACGATTATGGTTCAACACGTTCTAAACTATGTCAAGAAAGATGGAAATTTCGACAGCATATTTTTGTGAGTACCTCTTTTCTCTCCCATGCGGATCAGAATCTTTCATTTTCAGCACCTTTATCAATGAAAAATGTTCTTGCAAGAACTTATTCTTTAGGCTTTTATAGTTCAGATTTAATACATTAGGCTAAATCGGGCTTCCAGCGAAGGTCTGGAAGCAATTAATTTCTGATTGACCTAGGAGTTAAAAAGCTTTGTGATCAGAATGTAAGGGACCCTGATCTAAATAGAATGACTCGATGAGTTCAGAGAGGATCATGTTAGAAAATTAGATGTGATTATATTTTTTTAATTCCACTTTAAATGTACTTATAAAGGTCCCATGTATTTATCTGAAATTTGTCTCTTGTATGCAAGGGTCCAAGTGGCCCTTTACATTAGTGTCTGAGAGTAGAATGCAGCTGTCTACAGAAGGTGCCTTCCAAAAAATATATTTCTGCCTCCTTATTTTCCAGGCACCTTTGATATGGAGCAGTTATATTAGCACTCTTTGTGGCCATAAAGAAGTGTTGTCCTTTCATTGCATAGACCATAATAGCATTTACTCTATGAATTTTCGGGCCTTCGTATGAATGACATAAATTTAGTTACCGTAGAATACCGTCCATCTGCCCATTCCACATTAAGCGCCCATTACCAAATTTGTGAGATCTGAAAAAATACGCACAGTACATTTGTATGTAAAATTGATGACCGGTGAAGCACCCATCCACCATTGTTTTGCGATTATCTCCAAAGTTTGAGTGGGCGCTTGCCCGGTATTTTACGGTAGGTAAAATAGCAAAGGATAACCCTGCTCAAGCAGAAAGCTTACAAGGAGGTGATGGCTATGATTGCCATTTTTGCTCAAGCATTGCCATAGCTTGTATGATGGCCAGATGTTATTGTTGATTGGTTAGAAATATAACGATTTTTGTTGGTGTATATTATTAGCATCTAGTATTATTATGGGAAAAAAATTAATAGTAAATCTCATTTCAAGTTCAGAGAAACATTTTTATACTAGTTGCGTGCGATTGCAACTCCTCAGCTCTTAACAGGGAGCCCGGCAAAATTTTCATATTTACAGATTTTGTTAAAGCATGTATTAAGTGCCCCCTAGTACCACATTTCCTGGAGTATTCGATGCACTGTTTATAAACAAAGGCTGTGCATCCACTCTCCCACAGAGCACATAATAGCGAGCGAATCGTGACGATCCACAGAGGAGCCCACCAACTCATGTGCCAAAGCTAACTTCCTCACACAAAAACATTATCTGCACAGATTACATTTCTGCAGAAAATCATTTTGAGAACCTTAGTATTTGCTGCGATTCTTACATAAAACACAATAATTGGCTCTGTGTGTGCTCTGCAAGAAAGTAGGTATGCGGGCCTCTTAGCAACACTAAGCAAAAGCCGCTTCTCTCCTTTTTTATTTTTTGCTAGATTTAGGTATTTCTTTTAGACAATGGTAGCCCATTAAAGCTAAGTCACCGTAATCCAAATCCGATTCTATCCAAAGGCCACTGGGGCCGCGCATGACTACGAGCCTGTAATAAACTACCTAGCGGTCTAGACACTTTGGCGGTATTTTCCCCCCAATAACCTTTCTCGCCACAAGCGGCGCTGTTTCATGTAGGAGCAAATATAATTTTAAAAATGTTTTACAAAAATCCTTGAAAAATTATATATATTTTTTTTTTTTTTTTTATACCAGATGTAGCATTTTGCATGTTGCTTTTCAAATTATTCTGAAATAACAAGACCTGTAGGTATCAATATAGATGGCGTTTCCAATCGTCACGTCTTTTTAACATGTCCGTGGGTTTTCATGCACGAGTAGACGTCTCGAGCGACTTTCTCCATGCTGACTTCTCTAAATTTCCGTGCCCTCCAAACAATCCAATTGGTTGACTACCAACGTTGGCAGTGTGCCTCTGGTGCTTCAGGTTGTCCTCAGGGAAAATTTTCCCATAGCGAGACAAAAGGAGTCCAAGACAGGTAATCTAAGGAGCGTAGCGCGACGTAAAAGATGGTGTTCAGCACAAACAATGTTGTAGGTTGTCACACTTTTTTGTGCCTGTCTTGATATATTACTGGGCGATACATCCTGCGAAATAAATGTGACCGAGTGGTCCAGTGGGAATGTTGGTTCCCGAGCAAAGCTAGCTGATTCTGCTGCCACCACATCAAAACAGAATGCTAACTAATCTCTGCACGCATGAGGAGGGATGGGGAATCGTGCCTTCTTACTGAGTGCATAAACTCCGAATAGAAGCAGCGTTCCAGTGCATTTTTTAACAATACTTGTGCGTAAACGTCAGTGTGGGTCCTAGTCACGCGTTGGAAATGTTCACTAGCCAACTTTAGTCCTGAGTTTGTACTTGATACCTAGCCTCAACCGGACATTATACTTCGTTTCACCGCAAGTGCTCGTGGACTGCTTGAACTTCACGAGCGCGCATGCTCGGCAGGGACGTCGAAGGCCCGTAGCTCTCTTTAGTAGCTTGTGCTACACTCGCGCCTAATGGGAAACAAAACATAATACTAAATGGAAAAAAAAAAAAAAAAAAGTTTTAAAAATCAGCAATGCCTCCTTCTTTTAGACCAGCTCCCAAACGAAAAGTCATTGAGTCTGGCTTTCCATTATTTTTTATTTCTAATGTGGAAATATTATACAAACACCCGAGTAAATGAGCAATAATGCAAGCTGTAATCGGTGACCAGCTGAATGTTTTTGAAGAATCATTATTTAGAAAAATGTGTCACCGAGTCCTTTATTCATTGAGATCCATACCGTAGAACACCGAGCTTGCACCGCCCATGTCGCGACGAGCTTCCACTCCCCGCCCTTCAAACAGTTAAATATAAGCAAAGAATGTGTCGGACGCCCACCGCAGCAAACTAGCGAGCCCACCGGGGTGGCTAAGGTGTTCACCCGCGTCAGCTGCTCCTCCAAGTAGGCGGTGGAGAGCGGTGAAGCCTTGCGCGCACTATGCGCCAGTGCGAAGCGGTGAAGCTTGATACGAGAGTGACGCAGCTGCTTCTCGGATCAAACGAGGGCCTACCCTGCCACGTATCCATTCTACCTTTTGGCTCTCGGCCCTAATAAGCCCACTTCCTATTCTTCTTGATTATCTCCACATTTTGGGTGTGTCCTCAATTAGTGTTTTACAATGGTTGCTCTTGCCCTGCGAAGTCCCGGCGGGTCACGGCTCGGTGCCGTGACTGGTCGGACAACTCCTGACGAGACGCCTCTTTCCGCGGCCCGACCCCGCAGGCACGTCCAGGTGAACAACGAGAGTGCCATCGAGTTCTACACCAAGTTTGGCTTCAAGATTGTGGAGACGAAAGAGCACTACTACAAGAGGATAGAACCTGCGGACGCGCACGTCCTCCAAAAGACTCTGAGGCCCACCAAGACGTCCCTGCAGAACGGCGTGGCCAGTGACAAGGAGCGGTCCTAGTGAGTGTGCCTGTGCTCGCGCGACAGCCCGGGGGGCGAGACACACACACACACTCGCGCGCATCTGGCCATGCCGACCAAGCTGCCCACTCGAGTTTGCCGGGCACAGACGGAAGAGCCCACCACCCCTCTAGCAGCCACGACACTGCCGCGGCACTTTCGGGTTCAGTCCATTCATTTTCTTTTTGCCCCCATGTGTCCCTTTTTTGTTCGCAACATTCAGTCGAGTTACTGCCGCACCTGTTCTGCCTCGTTTCTTTAGGTCGAGCGCTGAAAATCCGGAGGGCGGCTGCGTCGCCACTCTTTCCAATTTTCGGCGCCTTCTTGACGCTTCCGGGATTTTGTTTTTGCCGAGAACTTTGTTCGGAGATGCGTTTGGATTTTTGAAAGAGGTCGGGGAAAGCCCCCTGTCGAAGTACTCGCATTGTTGACGTTGGAGAACGTGCGAACCATTTCGTGTGTTGGAGGTGGATTCTTTCGTTTTGTTTCCTAGAGCTCTGAAGCAAATTAGATTTTGAAAGAGTGCGGAATGCGACACCTGCCTAACTTTTTCCGTTCTTTTACCGAGGTCTTAGTTGTTTGCTGCGGCAGATGTTCAAACGGCTTTGCAACAAGTAGGAAATTTTTTAAGGATATTGGTTTTTGGGAGAGGAATGGAATATGTAGGTCAGTGTTATTTTTCGACCTCTGAGAAGTGCAGTTATTGCTTTCTTTTATTTGGCTGTGTCTTGGGATAAACAGGTGCAGTTTTTGGTGCAAAGTTATCACCTTATCAAGGTTTACAAAGGTAAACACTATTGTAAAAGCTTATCAGTATGGCCTCACTTGTTTCTTCCTCTTTTTCTTTATTTTTTTACAAATAAAAAACAACAATGTGCAATTTTTTTTTTTTTTAATAATGTGAAAGTAAAGCTGTTGGGGTTAAATTAGTTTTCCCGGAGCTTGAAAAGATGCAACGTTGCCGACTGAAAACTGTGTATTTCATGCTCGCACTGTCAGCAGCACCTTGTTCTGTCGGCGCAAATTGAATTTGTATCGATGCAAGGTGGCACGTGAGCTTCATTCTGTGTTCTTTCTTCCAGTTTTAGCCTTATTTTTGGCTAATTGCAACAGCTGAGCCCTGTGTGTGTGTGTGGCAGCCTTGCCCTCAAGACTGTGTTTTCTACCCAAAGCAGCAGCAGTGGCTGCTGGAGACAATGTGACCGCCAGGCACCCGTTGCCTGGTCCCTGTGGCTTGACCTTTGGCTGGTGACCCACCATACGCCATTGCAGCCTGTGTGAATAAATGTGGCCTAGGAATTTTTAGGTGCACAGCAGACTCTTTTCTGTGCTTAGGGACTGGTGGCTACCGACACAGTTGCTGGTTCGTCTACTGGAACTTGATCTTGGGGCAGCTCATTACACTAACTGGGTTTGTTTCTTAGGGCCTCTTTATCGAAAAATTGCTAAGAAAGTAATGTTTTATTTGACTTTTGACTAATTTACAATACACTTGAGTTTGCTTCAAAAATGAAGCAGAACAGTAGTTCTGCTCTGTGTAGATTACTTCAAGTTAATCTCATTCCCAAGAAGCTTTCTGGACTTTTAAAGGATTTTGTTGTGTTCAGAACTGATATGGCTGGTATTGGACCATTACTTTCCTTAATCTTGAGAATCGTGGTTCTCTCAAAACTGGAAAAACATTTTAGTTTTTGCATTTAATCAAATATTTTAACAAAAAAAAAAATGAGGATGCTTAATCCTTTGATGCTCAAAACTTTACTTGAACTACTGGAGACCTAGAAATCCTGACGTTTTTTTACAACACGCATAACAAAAATCTTCTTGCAAGAAAAGTTACCTTTTTTCACAATGTTTTGAAATGTTGATTGTGAGCAACATTGACCATTTGTAGCATTATGTGACGTCTAACAACTGGAAGCAGTTACGACCTGGGAAGAGGTACAGGTGCACTTTGCATTTCGCACAGTAGAGGCACTTGTAACTAGATTTGGAATATTTGCGCCTGTTTTTCTTCTCAGAGTTTCGAGGTCAGTGTTGCAATTTTTAATGCCTCAAATCCCCTTTCAACTTTGGCTTTAAAGGACAAGTGAATTGTTTTAAAGATGCAATTTGATTCTTCGCAGCTAAATGCAGGTAGCCTCGCTGTGCGACAGTCCGCTAAATTTATTGAGGTGCACATGGCATGGGAGAAAAATAAATCATTATTGAGTTGCTGCTAAGCAAAACTGGGTATCAAAGCATTGAGCTTCGCCTTTTAAGGGATACTGACAGGGTATTTATGATCGCCAAGGTTTTTAATTGTACATGACATATGAGCCCAACCACCCAGAACAAAATGTGCAGCTCGAAATTCATTTTCTTAGTGCCCGAAAACCGACAATCGAGAACTGGCTGGTTTGAGTCGTGCTCTCGCTCTTCTTCATGGTCACGCGCCATTTTCTATGGTTTAAACACAACCACCAAAGATAATCAAAGTTGTGGGTCATGGGATGCACTTACTCAATACTAGAAATGGACAAAAAATACGATACTCATTTTTTGTGGCTTCTAAATTGCTGCAAATACGTTGATTGAAAAAAAAAAGGAAAAAGGAAGTTGCACAGTTACATCTATATTTCTTCCTTCCCAGTCCAGTTTCGGTTTCGAGCAGTTGCGTTTCTTTTTACTTTATTAAAGATATACATGACACTGTAGCAAAATATTGATTGGGTAGTGTTCTAATGCCTAAATAAATCGCCTGGCAACAAACTCAAAAACATTTGGGGGGGGGGGGGGGGGGGGGGTTCTTGAGGGTGGAACGCGTCATTGAATCCTCAGCCCGCTTGTGGCGCATCGCTTCTGCACGCCTAGTCTTCATCTCTGCCTTCTCGGCTTCAGTGTTACATGGCAGACCCCATAGATGCGGCATCTGCACTCCTAGAAGACGATGACTCCGAAAAGCGCCCCGCACTGGTAGACAGCATCGCACAAGTGTTCTCTCCCGGCGGCGTACACGTTCTCCCCAGACGAACGATGAATGCAGGATCGTAGTGCCACTGGGCGCACTCGGCGATGGACAAAATCTTTCCGCTCCTCCGCAACGGATGGAAACTACGCTCCTCCTGGCAGACAAGCTCAGGTCATGTGGCTGCGACGTCATGACCCTATTGACCAGTCAGGATTTTCGTGTCACGGCAGCTTTTGTCTGGCACGGCATTGAGGCCGGCGCGACACAAGCTGCTTAAAACGCTAACACATTAAAAGGGTGGCCTCCTTTAGTGGTGGTTGGGGCAAGGTTCACAAGTTAGATATCAACCAGCTGCCTCTTATTATAAAATTCGAACGACCATACAAAGTGCGCCGCAGTTGACAGCGGTAGCTGCTCCCTTGCTGAGACGTGCTTCGGGAGATCCGTTTTCAGTAGACAGGTTTGGCACTTTGTGCTCATGCAAGGCCGACTTGGATGTCGCACAGACTTTGAAACTAAACACGTCCTGGACCAGAATGGAGAAGTGCCTGTATTGTGCGTGCGTCGGGTCTCTGAAACCATGACCAGTCGCACGGGTACCTGATGAAGTTATTTAGGAATCCGTCGGTCGACTAGGTGAAGGGAATGGCGTCGCGCAGGTCCCGCCACTTTGCACTGCTCGTGAGCTGCAACCCGCTGATGACATATTCTCTTTTCCACTTTTTAGACGTGCATAGTGTTGAAGCACCCCACAGGCCGGGTGCGAGAAAGTGCCTTGCCAAATATAATGTGGTCGTGTGAGGGGCAGCAAGGGCGAGGCACATCATGGTGGAGCGTTTTCATTCTTTCCCCTTCATTGTCCTTTGTTGCACCTTTCCTCACAATGACGGGAGTTTTTTTGCGTTTAAGCGTCACGGGATTTCGTCTGAAGGGGGCACTAACAACTAGAGCGCTGCACGGGCAGCTCTCTTGAGCCCAGCCCGTCGTGATTTACCCGCCCGAGCCCGGCCCATGTGTCCGACACTAGGCCTTAATCCAATCAATTATATGTCACCCAACCTGGCCCGCCACCTTTTAAACCCAACCATGCCTGAATTTGATGTCATGTTGCCCAAACTTTGCCGTGTGGAGTATGAAAGTATTGGGCAACATAATTTTATAGCCTCAATGCTACAGTCGAAGGTGAAATGCTGGTACGCACATGTCAGTACTTGACTGTTACGAATAATGCATGTGAATTTAACTAGGCTGCGACGAATTTCAACACGGAAGAGTGATACTAGCCTTATAAATAACAAAAGGCACAAATAAATAACAAATCAAATCAAAGCTTTTTTTTCCTTTTTTATTTTTAGTATTAGTTTAATGGCATTATCAGGTCAGATGAGTGAATTCGTTTACAGGCAGCTTTCTATAAATAAACAAATTTCTTCTGGGGCTGCACACCAAGGTGCTGGTTGGACCCCGGCCCAAGCCCACCAAAATACCTCCTTACCTGGCTTGGCCCGCAAGTCGGGTCAGATCAGGCCCGGACTTTCTTGTAAGCCCGAGCAGGGCTCTACTAACAGTTACCATTGTAAAAATAGGTTTTCAACATCTGGAGCCCAAAACTTGGCACAAAAGAGAAACAAATGCCGAGCAAGTGCCTATTCTAAGTTTGTACCAAGAAGCCTTGAAGAGTTGTAGCATTGATTTCTAAAACCTGCAGTAGTGGAAACCTAAACCCACCTTCATGAACAAGGAGAGTCTCGGCTGGGTCACCGGTCGGATAAGCAGGCTGCAGGTGGGCTCGACCAAAAGTGTTGGTGTGTAGGACTGGGCTTTTAGGTATTGATTTATGCAGACACCATGTGCAGGCCTGTCATACTACAGAAAATGGTTTTCTCTATAAAGTGTGCCTCTCTGCTTGAAACTAGTGATTACACATGGATATACAATATCTACCATGAAGTAGCACAGCATTGTCTCGTATAATTATCTAGTTCCTAGGCCGTTTCTCAACAAAATGACTTTTTGTAGAATACTTTTTCTTGGTTTTAAGAAGACAACAATAGTTTTCAAATGGTGATGAGAGCAAAAACATTTCTTGCCAACCGCATAGGAGCCATTTCACATTTTGGCTCGAGGCAGCTGATATTGCCCGTTTTCGAGGCATACATTGGGAGAAAATTTTACATGTATGTACGAGGGGTTTTTCAAAAGTTCCGACACTCTAGCACTTTCAATTTTTAGAGGTGCTTGGAAATATAATTTTTTTTATTTTCCTTGATCCTTTTAAACTAATTTAAGTTGTTTTTTCTACCACAGGAAGCTATGGAGATGCGAAATCGAAATTCGAGTACTTGCGGCAGCATGAAAAAAAACAGACATATCCACAAAGGAACTTCTGCGGTCATTCATTCTTTATGACTTCCTGTCTTCTGTAAAGTCTGCAGGGTGCATCAAGAATCTAAAAGATGTTATGGGCGACGAAGCCCCGACTCTCTCAATGATTGTTCCATTTGCTTTTGAAGTGGAGACTTTTCTGTGGAGGATGCTCGCTGTGACGGGCGCCCCAAAACAACCCACAGAAATGTCTGCTGTTGAGGAAGATGGGCGAGTTACCCCGGAGGAGTTGAAGGAACTACTTGGTATATATGCCACGTCAGTTTAGAGAATCTTAACTGAAAACCTTAATTACAGCAAAAAAATCTGCCAGATAGACCCTTCACCAGCCGACTCCCAGAGCACGAGGCTTCCCATGTGATTTTTTGCTGCCAGTGCCTCCAAAGATTCAAGGAAGGCAAGTCTGCTGCTTGAAGCAAATTAACTGGTAATGAGACTTGGTTTTACAACAGTGACCCTGAAACCAAGTCTCGATCCATGGTGTGGTCGACAAAAGGAGCACCGCCACTGAAGAAATTTCGCCGTGCCAGATCAGCCGGATGGACAATGCCATTTTGTTCAGTTTCAAGGGTGTTGTGGCCTCTGTCCCCCTTGAGGAGAGGTGAACTCTGAATATTCACAGAAGTGTGCCTGCTGAAAGTTTTCAAAAAGCTACTCGGAGGTTGCCCCAAGGAACTGCGTCGTCACATCCTCCATTACGACAACCCACCCTCTTGCACGTCTAGGCTAGGTGGCACAAGCTACCGCCCGTTATGAACGGTATAGCCGTTAGCATCTGTGCATCCATCCATCCATCCATCCAGAACATGGAGGTAGGAAGCTTCTGGAGGCAACATGACGCCACCACAAGTAAAGCCGGGCGAGACTTCCGGTTTGGAGGGACACACCCCCAACGATGACCAAACACGAATGAAACCGAAAGATGCTATTGGACTGACTTGGGCACCCTTGGACACTACTGGACGGATTTGGCACC